CAATTAAATTACTATAAAATATATACATAAAATAGCCTATTCACTTTATATTTAACATAAGAGCGAGCAAGCATGACTTTTATTTGTTAGAATCAGAAATAATGCAAATATTGAATTGCAACTCAAAGAAAAAGATTTTCTATTTTATGATGATGTTGACTTTAAAAATGGTAAATTGTAAATTCACTCATTATATATGGAAAATATTTAAAAAATTAATTCTTTATCCACAAATGTAAATGGGCGTTGAAAAACTTTTTTGAAAAACTAACTACTAATTTTAAAATAGAAATAGGTCATTACTTGTACACCTTAACTTAAATTACTATAAAATATATACATAAAATAGCCTATTCACTTTATATTTAACATAAGAGCGAGCAAGCATGACTTTTATTTGTTAGAATCAGAAATAATGCAAATATTGAAAAGATTTTCTATTTTATGATGATGTTGACTTTAAAAATGATAAATTGTAAATTCACTCATTATATATGGAAAATATTTTAAAAATTAATTCTTTATCCACAAATGTAAATGGGCGTTGAAAAACTTTTTTGAAAAACTAACTACTAATTTTAAAATAGAAATAGGTCATTACTTGTACACCTTAACAGCAATGTGAAATTAGTGCTTTAAAACGATTAATCGCGATTAATCGCATCCAAAATAAAAGTTTTTGTTTACACTGCCAAAGACTCCCATGGCAGAATCATAACAGGAAAACCAAGTGTCTACACACCTTTGGTCTCAACACCTAGAAAAGAATTGAGACAAAACACAAGAAAACACTTTGCTAAAGTGGTCTGGGCCTCTAGATAATGTGATTGATGCTGTCAGTCACTCTCCTCCTGCACTAAAGCAACACGCTCAACCTTTTAGCACTTGCAATCATGTGCTCAGTGAATCTGTTTCCAAGGCAACCTGATAAATTCCCTAGAGGTGTGAGCTGGTGAGCCTATTGTTTATTTCCTTTTTAATTTGATAGATATTTTAGAAAAGAAAAACAGATAACAACAGAGGTTGTCCACAATATTCTTTTTTCTTTTTTTTAAAAACGGTGGCTAATGACTGAAAATGGTAAACCTACAGAAAATGTTGAATTTATCCATCCATTTTATTCAAACCGCTTATCCGCTGTACAGGGTGGCAGGAGAATATAGTCAGGGTTTTAACTAAAACTAAAACTAAAATCATAAAAAATAGAAAATATGAAATAAAATATTTAAAAAACTAAATATTTTAAAGCCAAATCCTACATAGAGATAAAAAACAATAAAACTAATAAAAAATGACAGAAAACAACAACAAAATGACTCAAACTTTAACTTAAAAATTAAAAATATAAAAACGAATTCAAAATATTAAAAATACAATAGTATCTCTATACCTAATAACACTTGAATATATAATATTTTTTATAAATTTTATGTGTAAAAGCTTGAGGATATTTCTATGATTCCAGATAACAACAGAGGTTGTCCACAATATATATATATATATTTTTTTTTTTTTAAACAGTGGCTAATGACTGAAAATGGTAAACCTACAGAAAATGTTGAATTTATCCATCCATTTTATTCAAACCGCTTATCCGCTGTACAGGGTGGCAGGAGAATATAGTCAGGGTTTTAACTAAAACTAAAACTAAAATCATAAAAAATAGAAAATTAAATTAAATAAAATATTTTAAAAACTAAATATTTTAAAGCCAAATCCTACATAGAGATAAAAAACAATAAAACTAATAAAAAATGACAGAAAACAACAACAAAATGACTCAAACTTTAACTTAAAAATTAAAAATATAAAAACGAATTCAAAATATTAAAAATACAATAGTATCTCTATACCTAATAACACTTGAATATATAATATTTTTTATACATTTTATGTGTAAAAGCTTGAGGATATTTCTATGATTCCAATTATTGTGCAAATTATTCAATAATTTTAAAAGGCATAGACGTTTTAAAGGAATTTCTGCCATTATCAGAGCGGAATCGGTCTTGCGCATCGCAAATGTCTTGTGGCGGCCGAAAAGTCAACAACGAAGTTTTACACAAAACAATATTTTTTTTTGTGATATTTGTGATGTTTAAATAATATAAACAATTAAATAAAATATGTGTATAATAATAATAATAATAAACAGTACTTCGATGCGATCCAAAACAGAAATCGCTCGGTTGCTATGGTTACCGCATTGGCGAATGCAAATTCTGTTCGCGAGCGTCTGTTTTGCGCACATTTTGATGTAATGTAACATTTTTGGTTATGTCGAAATGTTATTGTGATGTATTTGTGATGTTTATATAATATAAAATATAAATAATAAAAAAATTACAGTACTTCGATTTTACGTCCGATCCAAAACAGAAATTGCTCGGGTTGCTATGGTTACCGCGATGTCAAACGCAAATTCTGTTCGCGAGCGTCTATTATGCGCACATTTTGATGTAATTTAATATTTTTGGTTATGTCGAAATGTTATTGTGATGTATTTGTGATGTTGAAATAATATAAAATATAAATAATAAAAAAATTACAGTGCTTCGATTTTACGTCCGATCCAAAACAGAAATCGCTCGGTTACTATGGTTACCGCATTGGCGAATGCAAATTCTGTTCGCGAGCGTCTGTTTTGCGCACATTTTGATGTAATGTAACATTTTTGGTTATGTCGAAATGTTATTGTGATGTATTTGTGATGTTGAAATAATATAAAATATAAATAATAAAAAAATTACAGTGCTTCGATTTTACGTCCGATCCAAAACAGAAATCGCTCGGTTGCTATGGTTACCGCATTGGCGAATGCAAATTCTGTTCGCGAGCGTCTGTTTTGCGCACATTTTGATGTAATGTAACATTTTTGGTTATGTCGAAATGTTATTGTGATGTATTTGTGATGTTGAAATAATATAAAATATAAATAATAAAAAAATTACAGTGCTTCGATTTTACGTCCGATCCAAAACAGAAATCGCTCGGTTGCTATGGTTACCGCATTGGCGAATGCAAATTCTGTTCGCGAGCGTCTGTTTTGCGCACATTTTGATGTAATGTAACATTTTTGGTATCGCGATTAATCATTTGTCAGCATTAGAAAAAATGCAAATTACTGTAAAGCCTTAAATCTATTCCTTGCTTTTCTTTTTGATTATTGTATTTGTTTCTCTTAGTATTTGATTTGATATGATTGATGTTATCACTGCCTTTTAATTGACCCTTCCAAGTCCCCTTATTCGCGAAAAATAGTTTATTTCCACACTGCAATATAAGATGGATAATATAATACAAATGCATATAACTTTTGACTGGGTGGCGCTGAGTTATATTATAGTGTCAGAATATTATGCCAATCACAACATTTTGTGGCAATACAATAAAGAGCTCTAGAATAAGTTCATTTTTGATAACGTTCAAAATAGTCAAAGTTGCATAAATAGAATTTGAGCTGTAGGTGGCGCTAGAAGCTTCAAATCAGTATAAATTTAAATTGTCCTAGTAGTGTGCCAGATTTCATAATTGTGTACTATCTAGCTCAACTGTCTGCCAAAGACTCCCATGGCAGAATCCAATAAAACTAATAAAAAATGACAGAAAACAACAACAAAATGACTCAAACTTTAACTTAAAAATTAAAAATATAAAAACGAATTCAAAATATTAAAAATACAATAGTATCTCTATACCTAATAACACTTGAATATATAATATTTTTTATAAATTTTATGTGTAAAAGCTTGAGGATATTTCTATGATTCCAATTATTGTGCAAATTATTCAATAATTTTAAAAGGCATAGACGTTTTAAAGGAATTTCTGCCATTATCAGAGCGGAATCGGTCTTGCGCATCGCAAATGTCTTGTGGCGGCCGAAAAGTCAACAACGAAGTTTTACACAAAACAATATTTTTTTTTTGTGATATTTGTGATGTTTAAATAATATAAACAATTAAATAAAATATGTGTATAATAATAATAATAATAAACAGTACTTCGATGCGATCCAAAACAGAAATCGCTCGGTTGCTATGGTTACCGCATCAGCGAACGCGAATTCTGTTCGGGATCGCGAGCGTCGGTTTTGCGCATATTTTGATGCAATTTAACATTTTTGGTTTCTGGAATGTCGAAATGTTATTTACTGGAACGCACATACACGGAAGAATACATACATTTAAAACAAACCCAGATAGCACACGTACATCTGCAAGAAGTCTGTTAAAGATCGCTTCATCTGGAAAGCATCTGCTGTGTACAAACATCTGATAGACGTCTTCAAGATGTCAGTTTTACATACATTCTAAATCATAAACATCTCAAAGACATCTTCTAAACGTCTATTTGACATCTGATAGGAAACGTCCTATAGACGTATTGCAGATGAGCAAACGCTCTAAAAAATACGTCTTGCAGACGTCTCCGTGATGTACATGTGCTTTCAGGGAACGTATTGTTTTGAGTTAAGCGTTCAATGGTTAAATTCTTAAAAAACTCACTAATCAACATTTCAGATTAAGAATCTTCTCACGATCCGCCACTTCGGAATTGTTGCGCATGCGCAGTCAAACAGATGTCTCCGTGATGTACGTGTGCTTTCAGGGAACGTATTGTTTTGAGTTAAGCGTTCAAACCTTAATGGTTAAATTCTTAAAAAACTCACTAATCAACATTTCAGATTAAGAATCTTCTCACGATCCGCCACTTCGGAATTGTTGCGCATGCGCACAGAGAGGCGCGGAGCTGCCCAAGTGCTGAACCCGGCGCGCATCACTTAACTACAGCCAGGATCGCACTCGTAATCTCCGCTCGCGCGTTCCGTTCCCGCTGCATCCGACTCGAGCGCAGAATGATTCCAGCCGCTTCCCGGGGCTTCACATCGGACCCGCGGCGTCTCGGTGTGGTTTCATTCACACAGCCGAAGCATGAGACTCCGGGCTGAAGTGGCGCTCGTGTGCTCGGCTTTACCTGCGGAAACCTCCGGCTGCGTTTTAGTTCGGAAGAAAACGCGACTGGTGTTCGTTCGGGACGCGTACTGCGTTTCTGAGCCCATGAGGGAGAGCGAGCGAAGCCAGAGGAATGACTCGCCCTTCTGTAAAACTCCTCACAACTTTACTCGCATGCTTGATAGAAATGCACAACTTCAGGTACGTGCTTCACGTCTTCAGCTGTTAAAGCAACGTCTTTTAGTCTTATAAACAGCTCAGTATTCGCAATGCAAACATCTAGTGCACTGATCCTGACGCGCGTTGCCATGACGATTAAAGAATGCTCAGATGAAAATCAGAATGTCAGTTGGAATTAAAATTAGAATTTTGATTCGTGCAGATAAACAAAGATTCCATTCTGTTTTTGTAATTCTCTAGGGAGAGGAAACTGGGGTTAGTTGTCACAAGGTCTATGAGGTTTTAGTCAAAATACACGAAAAGCATTGGCTGTTTGTTGGTTTCAAATATCTACTTCAAAACGAATTTTAATTAGCATATTTTTGGTTATGTCATATTTTTGTAAAATGAAGCCTCACTTGACATACATGAAGACAAGAGTCACTACTGTACATACAGTGAAGGTGAACTGAATATAATGAACCGAAACTGTCACATATTTCATTAATTATAATATGACATTTTTACTGTTTCTTTTATTTGTGTCAATAGTGTGACAACATGAGGGTCAGTGTGTGTTAAACTGTTTTTTTTATTTTATGGACAACAAAAAAAACTTGTTTGTAGTTCATATTTTAAGGTTTGTGTCCATACTTTTTAAAAATAAACCCACTCTAAAACAATATTTAGTGGCGTAGAAGTGTGACAACTAGCCCCGCTCTATAGCCTCATTTCATTCTCTAGGCCAAAGAGCCTCAAGTGCAATGATATGAAACGAAAAAATAAATATTTTCTTAAGATAAATAAATTCAATTCTACTTTATTCTATTCTAGTGAATTTGCTAAACAGTTTTCTTATTTTATTACATGACCAATAACAGTTGTGGTAACATTCTGGGAATGTTAGTTTATGGCTATAAAAATGATAACCGTATTGAATGTTGAGAATCAATTCTCAGAATAAGCGCAGTGAATGTTTGTGATGTTTATTGACACACTACTGCTCCGTGTCTCAGGAGAACGGCAGGAAAAGAGTACGAGGGAATGTCTGGACGTGAATCTTCATCATCGATGTCTCCCTCAGATTTCCTGGACAAACTGATGGGCAGAACGTCAGGCTACGACGCACGGATAAGACCCAACTTTAAAGGCATGAAACCGCTGAAAATTCAGTTCATTACACTGCTGTTCTTATGCATCAAAACATTCGGAGGCTGCTATATAGACAAAATATATCGTTCTTCATTTTGCATTAGTTTTTAGTCCAAACTAGGGCTGTCAAGCGATTACAAATTTTTATCTACACTGTAAAAAAAAATCTGTGACATTTACGGTAAACTACCGGCAGCTGTGGTTGCCAGAACTTCAGCAACATTTTAGGTTTTACAGACTTAACTTAAATTCACAATAAAATACCGTATTTCATTAACTGATGTAATGTTAATAAACCAACATATTGAAGGATTAATATCTGTTTTGAACCATTGTAATGCACTGATAACCACCAAAAACTGGTGGTGATGAGAAAGTCATTACAAAAAGTAGCTTTAGAAAGAAATATTTTGTTTCATCATAGAAGTTATTACACATAAACCTTTAAGGCTATAATGTGACCATAACATTGTTTTCAAAAGCTGCATCTGAAGTGGCATTTACGTTTATGAATATTCATGAATTAGATTTGCAGAAATAATGCTATGAGATTAATAGGTTTTAAATGGGCATTAATGGGTTTTAAAAAATTGAATACTGAAATATGAAAAATTAAATGATACTAAATATGAAACTAAATCTGCCAGTTGGAGGTGGCAAGTCGCTATATTAATGAGTGAGTCATTCAATCAGAAATGAAGTAAGTTGACCGTCTTTATGAACGAGTCACTGAGTCATTGACTCACTCGATTTGTTCAAATGGCTGATTCATTCAGAAATGAAGCAAGGGATTGTCTTTATGAACGAATCACTGTATCATTGGCTCGCTTGATTCACTCAAACTGCTGATTTGTTCAGAAAAGAAGCAAGTGATTGTCTTTAAGAACGGTTTTAAAAAATTTTATACTGAAATATGAAAAATTAAATGATACTAAATATGAAACTAAAACTGCCAGTTGGAGGTGGCAAGTTGCTATATTAATGAGTGAGTCATTCAATCAAGTGTTTTTGTTCAAACCACTGATTCATTCAGAAATGAAGTAAATTGACCGTCTTTATGAATGAGTCACTGAGTCATTGACTCACTTGATTTGTTCAAATGGCTGATTCATTCAGAAATTAAGCAAGGGATTGTCTTTATGAACGAATCACTGTATCATTGGCTTGCTTGATTCACTCAAACTGCTGATTTGTTCAGAAAAGAAGCAAGTGATTGTCTTTAAGAACGAGTCACTAAATAATGACCTTGCTTAATTCGTTCAAACCACTGATTCATTCAGAAATAAACTAAGTTGACCGTCTTTATGAACGAGTCACTGAATCATTGACTCACTTGATTTGTTCAAACAGCTGATTCGTTCAGAAATGAAGCAAGTGATTGTCTTTATGAACGAACCACTGAATCACTGACTCACTCGATCTGTTCAAAACCATCAAAAATCAAAATAAATTAATTCAGTAACGAATCACCACTTGGAGATGCTCTGGCTTTAATTGGAAAGATTGTCATTTGCGAAATTGAGCAAAAACAGACAATATTGTGTCTAAAACACAATATCAACTTATTGTTAATTGAACTGTTGCATAAAATCAATATTGCAGTCATGCAGATATTGGGGAAAAACAGCACTTTTGTTGGTGTGATATTGCTAAACTATCTCATATAATATAAATACAAGAAAAAACTGCATATAACTGCATTCTGATGCATTCTGATTCATCAACAGCTGCATTAATGTAATATTATGTACATGGATGGATGGGGCGGTGCATTAAATGCCTTAATCATTTTAACACGTTATTTCTTCCATAATTAACCACACTAAATTAATACATTAAATTGACAGCATCATATAAGTTAAGACTTGAAATAATAGATAACATAAGATACGTAACAACACTAAACACCCGGAAAGTTTGCTTCCAGATGTGTTGTGCTGTAAGCGTGTGCCCTTGACCTGACTTTGCACCGAGGGGAGCATCTGTTCCTCTGGATGAGCGTCTGCTTAATGACCTGTAACACAAACATAGTTTGTCAGTTATCTTCTAGTGCTTTGGGGAACACGGCTCATTGAAACAGGTTCAGTCAACCTTCAGCTCCTCACGCAATCTCACGCAAACATCGCTCACATTTCACCCCAATATCCAAAGAAAAAATGATCTGATAAATTATCTTCACACTTCACAACAAGTGTTAACATTAGTTAATGCATTAGTTAACATGAACAGCTATTATTAACTTTTGTTAATGTTAGTTATTAAATCTAGTTGTTTATTGTTTGTTCATGTTAGTTCACAGTTCAATAACTAATGTTAACTAAGATTAATAAAGGTACTGTTTATGAAGTACTGTTACATAACAAAAAATGTTTTATGAAATGTGCATAATTGCTGAAAATGTCACAGTGCAAAAAAAATCTTAATATATGCTTAATTTTCTTTTTGCAAAATATAATTTATAATTTTTTTTTAAATTATAGCATTAAGATTTTTGGATAAAATGTACATAATTGATCAAATTAATGTGACAGTGAAAACAAAAATCTTGATATATGCTTCATTTTTCTTTATGCAAAATATTATTTTTTTTTAATTACAGAAATTTTTTTAATGAAATGTGCATAATTGATTAAATTAATGTCACAATGCAAAAAAATGCTTCATTTTCCTTATGCAAAATATAATTTATTGTTTCTTAGTTTTTTTTTACAGCAATAGGAATTTTGTATGACATGTGGATAATTGATAAAATGAATGTCACAATGCAAAAAAAAAAAAAAATCTTAATATAGGTGTCAGACTTTGTTCCATGTCTCGTGTTGTGTTTTCCTCCCCCATGTGCTCCAGGTTGATGTTTATGCCCATATTTGGTTTTTCCTGTTCCTATTCCCATTTAGTTCTATTGATCCCAGGTGTGTCCCATTAGTTTCTGTTTATGTAAAGTGTGTTTTGCCCCTTGTTTCCTGTCCACTGTCGAATGTCATTTTGTGTCCTCAGTGTATCTCATGTCTCTGTATTCCCAGCTTTTGTTTATTAAATCTTTGAAATTTACTTTGTTCCTCATCTCCGCGTCCCTTCCTGTGCTCCCAGTGTGTGTGTCGTGACAGCACAGCGGACCGAAACAGTAAGCGGCGCTTCTTCTCCCGTGTTTTGTTTTGTGTCAGACTCTGGTCCGTGTTTTGTGTGTGTTTTGCTCCTCATGTGCCTTCCTTGCCCTTATTTGGTCCTTCCTGTTCCTGTCCTCATTTTGTGTATTTGTCTCCAGCTATGTTTTGATTAATTAGTTCATTTGCTCCCAGGTGTGTCCCATTGGTGTTTGTGTATTTATGTTCTCAGTTCCCAGTGCTCTGTCTGCTGTTAAGTGTCATTTTGTTTGCCTGACGTCTCCCGTCCTGTGATCCCCAGAGTGCCTTCATTAAAACCCTTTTGATTTACTTTATTCCTCGTCTCCTCGCTTGTTCCTGTGCTCCCAGTGTGTGAGTCGTGACAGAACAGCAGACCGAAACAGTAAGCGGCGCTCCTTCTCCCGTGTTTTGTTTTCATTTTGAAGAGTGCTTTTGTTTTCTTTTGTTTCTCCTGTGTTTTCCCCGCGGTATGAGAACCGCCCTGCTGTTAAGCGTGCCGGCCGCGCCGTTGTCAAGCTCGCCGGCCGCGGCTCACCTAAGCCCGCCGACCGCTCAGAAGATAAACTCGCCGGCCGCGCCGTTGTCAAGTCCTCCGGCCACTCCGAAGACAAGCCCACTGGCAGCTCAGAAGTCAAGCCTGCCGGCCGCTCCGAAGACAGGCCCGCCGGCCGCGCCGTTGTCATGCCTGCCAGCCACGGCTCACTCAAGCCCGCCGGCCGTGCCGTGGTCAACTCCAGTGTCGGCTCCAGCCCCAGAGCTCGTTCCAGTGAGGGCTCCTGTTCCCGAGTATAGCCCACAGAGCGCTCCTGTTCCCGAGTATAGCACACGGAGGGCTCCTGTTCCCGAGTATAGCACACGGAGGGCTCCTGATTCCCCGTCGAGACAAGGGAGGGCTCCTGTTCCCGAGTATAGCACACGGAGGGCTCCTGATTCCCAGTCGAGACAAGGAAGGGCTCCTGTTCCCGAGCATAGCACACGGAGGGCTACTGATCCCCAGTTCAGCCCAGGAAGGGCTCCTGTTCCCGAGTGTAGCCCA